AATAATAAAGTTCTGGACTTTATAACAGAGGCTTCGGTTCGATATCCTCCTTGGACAACTTGATGTCAAGTAGCATTAATATCGGTTTTCATTTGAAAATATAGCTAGCAATATATTTCCAATAAAAATAGTCATATCTCCAACAATTATCATTATTACATTTTGAGAGTACGGAGCCAACGGAGCGTCCGATTTGAATAATTCAAAAAACATATTAGTTGTATTGTCAAAATATAAATTTTGTCAAAAGATCGAGTGAAAAATGTAAAAAAAACATTTGGCGGTAAAAATGATCATCAGACGTATTCACATCAAATTATCAAATATTTTATAGAGATTTGATCAACAAGCATGAATTTTGTTAACATTTTTATGGGTTTACTGTTAGACTGCGATGCGTCGTTTACGCGCTTTGATATTTCTTCTCTAAAACTACAACAGCACGATTGCTTTGAAAAAAAGATTAAAATTTTCAGCAAAAATAAAAGTATAAAAAAATTTCAAAATATAACAAAAATCATATTTTTCAAAAAGTTTAAAGCTTCTAAAAAAATTAAATTACGGTACAGGAAGTTCCAGAAATTTGCCTTAAGGCACGATACCATGCACCACTTGTTACTGAATAGTTTTATAATGGTCGTATAAAATATATTTTAACCCAGTAAATATATCGTTAGATCTATATATACAATAAATTACAAATGTATATAACAGCCTATCTAAATTTTGAGAGACCTTCGATCGCAGGCTGAATGTAGAATCTTTGTGTGGTTCCTTCGGCGTTGATGGATATATCTTTCTGGGAAAATGTCACAGTGGGTTCCAGTACGTGAGATGGATTTCGTTTTTGTCACCCTCGCGATGTTGCAATTAGAAATACGATACTTTTCGTACAGACCTTTTCCAGACGTCATATCGTAAAATATTACTCACATTGGGACATATTTCAAATGATAGTGCGACTAGTAATATATAACAATTATCAGATAATTATACGTTTTCTTGTTTTAACGACGGAATAAACACTGTGGTAAATGCTTGCAGCTTTGTTGGTTATTCTAAATTTAAATTTTTGTGTATTTTTAATTATTATATATTTATGAATTTGAAAAAAAATTGATTTGTATCAATTGGGTTTTTGTTCTTTAACTTCGAAAGATTGATTAAACTGTAGTACTCGTATGATGACTTAATAAGTTATTTGAACTGAAATAATAAATATTTTTATAACTTATATAAAACTGCATAATATTACCGTAGGGTAAGTTATAGTAATGGGCCAAAAATCGAAATTGAAAATTTTTGCATATCTTTACGTTTCAGAGGTTTGTGAACATTTTGGCATACCTCAGAAAAAATTGATGTGTGTGTGCATATATGTGAGAATTCTATTGTTTGTCGACGATTTCGGGCGTACGGAACAACCGATTCGAATGATTCAAAAAACAATCGCTCCCTATTGATAGGGAGATGTGCAGATTAGTTCTTAGAAAAAGTTGGTCCAGCCGTTTCGGAGATACAAAAAAAAGAGTGCAGAAAATAGATATCAAGTTTTTGAGAGAACAAAGCATCCGATTTGACTGATCCAAAAAACATTCAATTTTTAATGATAGGAAGAAGTGGTGATTAGTTTTTGGCAAATGCAGGTCTAGCCGTTTGGGAGATACGGAGCTAAATGTGCAAAACATTGTAGTTTTTGAGAGAAGTAACCATCCGATTTCAATTATTTAAAAAACTGTTCGCTTGTATTGACGAAACCGTTGCTTTTGGCAAAAGATTTTGTTCTTTTAATTTCCAAAAAAAAATTAATCAATATTAATCTCATATTAATCAATCAGTATAGTTATATTGCATTTAGAATAAGTAGAGTATTTTGATCGAAAAATATTTTTTGGACATTATGAAATTATTTGTTTAGTGTCTAAATAGTCATATTATTTTAACCTCCTTAAAAATGACTTCAAATTTTTCACGATTAAAGGCTTCAAAGAAAACGCAATTTGTTAATTTTATGTTTTCATCTCATAATATTGTAGAGACCAACAAAAAGTCATTATTTCAAAATTTTATTGTTGCAATTTTAAAAGTTCGTAAATCCCAATTTTTCTTGATTAAATTGATCATTTACACATATTGGGAAGATCTTCTACAACTTTGCCAAAATGGCAAATGGCTTTGTAAAATGCTATTTTTACCTAGTTTAAAAGTTTTTATCTATTTGTAGTAAAAATAGTTGTCTACAAAGACATATGAATATAAAATACTATTAGAATGTTCATATAAAATAACAATTTTCTTTATTATTAACTTCTCGTAGGGTAAGTTATAGTAATGGACCGAAAATCGAAAATGAAAATTTTCGCATTTCTCCATGGTTTAATAATATTATACCTACAAAAAGTCATTGTTTCAAAATTTTATTGCTGCAATTTAAAAAAATGTTATATCCCAATTATTATTGATTACATGGAACTTCTTAATAAGTGTAATTGGGAAGTTCAAACAACTTTGCCAAAATGACAAATGGCTTTGAAAAATGCTATTTTTTGCTAGTTTAGATTTTTTTTATCAATTTGTAGTAAAAATAGTTGTTTACAAAGAATTGTTAGTATAAAATTTATTCAGAGTATTCTGAGTCATATTAAATAATAATTTTCTATATATTTTTTTTAATTTCCCTAAAATAAATTATTATCACAAGTAATCTGCACTAGCAACAGCTACATTACCATCCATATTGTTTCAATAATTTTTGTTAATAGCCATCCATACAATATGATAAATATATTTCCCAAACTCGAATATTCAATTATTAATTCTTTAATCCTGACATAATTTATATCAAATCGAATCAAAACAGAAACAAGAGTAGAGAATCAAACGCACGCACACGATCAGCAAAACAAATAACAAAAGTCATTCTTCAAACATTGGATTCTACTTATTATTCATTTTTTACTTCCTTTTTTCTAGAGGAAGAAAAAGAATACCAAAACATATGAACGTGACTCTAGTTTCGAAAGTTCTGGTATAAGACCCACTCGACGGGGGTTTTCGAGGGACCCGTAGTCGAAAATGTATGGTCTGTCGTAGGGATGAGAATTATTTTCGAACATCGATAATAGTTCGACCATTACAATCATCTAATTTTTTAATACAGCTGGATAGTACTTTGATCCATTTCAGCTAGAATATTATTAATCGGATATCGATGTCAAAATATTTAGTAAAATAAAGTAATTGCTGATTAATAAATTCTATAATATTCGTTCACACAATGGACAGCTGTAATATAACAATCTTAAATAATTTCATTAACACTAGCAATGAATAAACTGCATAGATGTCCATTATAAAGCATACCTGTATATAAATGATACACAGCTACACGAACTATTGTTGTTGCTTGATCTCTTGTTTAGAGTAATGAATCTGAATATCAATTTATTTTTCATTATTTATAAAAATTTGCAACTTTGTAATTCTAAATAGCCATCATAAACGAAAAACATGTAGACTTCTTCCAAACTTACAAAAGTGTCTGAGATATAATTCTGAAATAGAAAGACATATTTTCGCCATTTTAGAATAACGCAGTACTGCTTTAATATTTTTTAATATCTATAAAAATGCAGAGAATTATTATGTTAAACAACGCCTAAATAAATATTGTTTTCACAATTTCACTTGTCATGTAATTGTGTTTGAAGAACTTCATGTAATTAAAATTCATACAATGATTGCTTGTTTTTTTTTAGTTTTTCGCTGGCGATACAGTTTCATTCTTTGAACAGTTGTAGTATCTGTCTTGCATATAAAAATAATTTCCATTTTAATAGCCTCAAAAATATATAGTAACCACGAATAATACAAATTACTTCAATAAACTTACGTTTCTTACACGGCACTGATTTTTTATTTGCTTTATTATTTGCACTATAATTATTTATGGGGGCCGGGATAAAATATTCTTTCGATCCAGACATTTTTTATTTACTCAAGATTTGTACTAATATTTAACCTTAAAATGTAATGACATGGAACACCAAAAAATGAACAATATGCTTCACGCTTTCGGTGACGTACGCACGTATAAAGCACGCATACAAAGACGACTCGCACAAATACGGCGACCAATCAGAATGGACCCGTATAGAAATGATATCATCGAGAGCGAATGACAAATCATTGGCACTTGACCTTGCCGTAACGCACTTCCGTTGCATGTGTACGGATTTACACCCTAGTAGGGCCTAAAATTTTTACTTCAAAAATTGTATTAAGAGATTATAGATATCATTTACAGGTGATACCGATTCACAATTAAATATATAGTAAAATTGTGTAAAATTTACTTAAGAGATTTAAAGATCATCTTAGATTACTACACTGCAGAATGAATTTTGCAGAGCTCTGATTATTTTATCATTATTTCTGCACTGGCAGGGTCCATCTTAACAATAGATTTCAATTGATCATCAATCAGTAGATCAATTGGAAATGATCAATTGATCGAGTATGAATTATCTGTTGAACATCAAATTCAAAATATAGAGATTTTATCTAAGTATCAAAATTTCGTTAAAATTGATAAATATCTCCCACCACATTTTACCATCTCTTCGTCCTGTTCAAATTTGGTTGGCATCTGTGCGAAGGAATGAGATGGTCATACCAGATACCATCGGATGGCAATAAACAAGCCAAAAAAATGGTTTATTTAGTTAAAACGTCAAGTCGAGACATCGGTTAAGGTAGGGGTTACGCTTGAAATCGTGTTTGACATTTTCGAAAACAACGTCAGTTGCTTTTTCGTAACCACGTGAGGCGGTCGTATTGGAAAATAGTATTATAGTAGTTATACGCATCGTGGGTCAATATAAATATTGATTGTAATTGTTAATTTGCCAAATTGATTTTGGTGGTTTATTTTAAGTGAATGTGTGATGGTTTTGTTGGGATATATGAACATTTTTGTGTTACTTTAAGTTTGTGGAACAATGAAGTTTAGCGCGCTTTTATTTGTTGTAGTTGCTGCTGTGTTGGGATGCACTTCAGGTGAGATTTTTATTTATAGATAAAAATTACATTGTTAATTTGTAATCATGTAGATAAATCAATAAAAATTGTATTTTAATAGTTAATATAACTTTGCTTAAGTACATTATAAGCAAATTTAATTTATACTCTTTAATTTATCAATTATTGTCATTGAATATATATGCGCCTTCTGTAAATATTTAGTAAATTATTTTAGCCATAGTATTTTTATTCAAATAACGCGATGCTCTCCTTGTTTGGATCATTTTATATTTATTTTAACCATTTTTGCACCAGGATGGTTGTTCGAATTGTAGACGAGTTTGGAAATGTAAATGTAGGCAAGAATTAGAAATTTTAAGAAATTCTTATATATATTATTCAGTTCAAAAAATTTATACATGTTTTGTCTGTTTTTTGTATAATTTTAATTGTTATTGATTAGAGGTCCTGCAACGAGTTTAAAAATGTAGATGTAGACAAGAATTAGAAATTTTAAGAAATTCTTATTTATTATTCAGTTCAAAAAATGTATACATGTTTTGTCTGATTTTTAACTTCCCTTAGGGTAATTTATAGTAATGGGCCGAAAATCGAAAATAAAATTTTTTGCATTTCTTCACGTTTTGAAGTTTTCTGAGTGCAGGAAAAAGAAATCGAGTTTTTGAGAGAACGGAACATCCGATTTGATTGATCCAAAAATTTTCAATTTATAATGATGAGGAGAAGTGGTGATTAGTTTTGGGCAATGGCAGGTCTAGCCGTTTCGGAGATACCGAGTAAAATGTGCAAAAAATTGCAGTTTTCAAAAGAACTAAGCATCCGATTTGAATGATTCGAAAAAATTTTTGCTTGTGTTAACGAAACGATTGCTTTTGGAAAAAGAATTTTTTTCAATTTTTTTTTGATTATAACTCGGATTTTAATTTTAATTCTGGCTAAAGTTCTAAAGCTCACTAATATACTTTAAATGAATAATTTTAACTTTGCTATTCAGTTTATATGATTCTTATAAATATTAGATAATGTCCTTCATTTTAAATTTTATTTATTCAGTTTTGTTTATTTACTTTTCTGTAAACATATATAAGTTACAGTATTTATAATAATCCATTTGAACATTTAATTTTCATCGAATATTACAGTACGGTACGGTAAGTTCCAGCAATTTGTCTTAAGGCACCATGCCATATACCACTAGTTTATAATTTAAATTGTTATTGATTCGAGGTTCTGTTATGCCCTATTGAAATTAGCTGTGTATGTCAAACATGTAACGACTTTATTTCTCATTATGAATTAGCTTCTTAAATTTAGCTTTGCAAAAGATTGCAATTAAATAATTTGATTTTATTTTATCCCTGTTAATATTAAAGTGGAGTGCTTATGATTTCTTCAATAGAAATTCATTTATTATGTTGGGCTTGCTCGTAAGTAAGTTTCGAACAGCTTGTTATCGAGCAATAGTGACAACAGTTTTTACTTGAAAATTTTGCTAGCTATATGTTTCCAAGAAAAATAATCCCTCCGGCTCTGCTGCATCAATAAATATTCGCCATATTACTGAAATTGTAATAATAATTCTTCACATAGAGATAGGACAAATGTTTGGATTGCTATTTGTAGAACCAACTAGTATTGAGTCAAATTAGCACAACAACTAATAGGACTCTTAAGTTTTAAATATAATCTAATATCTAAAATAAAAGAATATTTAAAAGCTTTTTAAAAAGTTTTTATTTTCAAATTTTATTTTTCACAAGTTGCTGTTCAGTTTTACAGTTTCATTGCAATTTCGTACCTGTACTTAAATTTCTTATCGTACCTGCCTCATGTATTTGTTTATCCTATCGCAAATCATCTCTTTATGATTGAATAACGAAAACATAAAGGATCGCATATAAATAAAAAACTCTTCAGTATTATAACATCAAGTTAATTATATATCTTCCATACACTACGCCTTATTAATTGGTACCTGTTATCTTTTATAATATCAGAAGGTCCCATTTAGGATCATTATTTTATATTGTGGTTATTAATTCGTACAATATATAAATATAAACAGTATTTTTGTAAGGCCCGGATGTTTGGTCTCCACGATATTTGCTTTACAAATGAGCTTTATTTTACAGCTTGGATGAGACGGTTTGGTTTAATCGTAAACTTGTTAAAATACTTTTAATGGTCTTTTTGGGTTTAACGACTATTTGTACTTTAAATAAAAGAGCTTTCACAGATAATATCAATATAAATGTTCGTTAATTTAAACTTCCTTGCTGCAAAATTATATATGTTTTTCTACTTAAATTACAACGTGTCTTAATTAGTCTGTTATTTTATAAAGTCATTTGAAAGGAAAATCCAAGTTTCCTTTTCATTTGTGACAAAATTAAATCTAATCACTATGAGTTGCAATTTTTTTTATATGATCTGGTATAAATACGATATTCTTTATAAAACTGGTATAAATAAGTTTCTTAAGAATAACTACGCATATTTTTAAGAAAATCAAATATTATCAGTTGGTTGTAATTGTATAATTTTTATTGCAGCATTCGCCCAGGATGTTGATGGCGGTTCCGTATGCGCTGGTGACATACCAGATGTCGAAGAACTTTCTGTTAGGCCTAATTTAGCGGGAAAATGGATATCTTCAGAGTAAGTGAAAAATAATGTATTCTAGTTCATTATTTTTAACAAAATTACTGCTACATTTTGTTATAACTGTATTAGTAACTTTCTCTATTAATTATGCTCAAGATTAATCAAAGTAATCGGAAATGTTATAAAATGTCTTTACTTACGTCTAGAAAATTTTATTTAAAAAATAAATATTTTATTTAAATTATTTATATAAAAATTAAATATTTTATTTAAAGCGCAACTTTAAATTCGACTATTATAGAGCGACTATCAAATTCAAGAACTAATCTATACCTATGGATTGAGGATTGAAGTCGTACAGATTTGTATGATAATTAGTCGGACAATTCTTATTTCTACATATATTCATAAATAAAATTTTACTTCAAATAAATATGATTAAAACGTCTTAATACTGTGGATTTAATATACAGTACATTTTCGTCATATAATGACTAATTAACCTGAATGGTTTTTCCTTTGCAGACAAGTGAGATTATGTTATCCACTTAAAAATAATAAATAAAACTAAACTTTTGGATTGTTTTTATTAATTGACCTTATTCTTTTTAATTTTAATTTTTTAGAGAAATGTAATAAAAGAAAGTTTGATAGGAAGATAAAAATTCTGAAAACTAATTTAATAGATTTATGACCAATTCTATTTTTTGTTAATTAAAATTTTTGTGACTTATTACACAATATTTACTTCACATGTGTATGATATAAAATAACTAAATTAATTTTTTATATATCTTTATTAAATAAAAAAAATTATATATCTTTACGTTTCAAAGGTTTATGAATATTTTGGCATACCTTAGAAAAAATTGATGTACGTGCGTGTGCTGATACAAATTTTCGTCGACGATTTCGGGAACACCGATCAACCGATTTGAATAATTCAAAAAACATTCGATTCGTATTGATAAGGAGACGTGCTAATTAGTTTTTGGCGAAGGTAGGTCTAGCCGTTCCGAAGATACGGGACAAGAAGTGGCAAAAACGGTAACTCAGTTTCTAAGAGAACGGAGCGTCCGATTTCAATAATTCAAAAAACATTTTACTTGTATTGACAAGATAAAGAACTGATTAAATTTTTGGAAACGCAGGTCCAGCGGTTATGGACTCTCAATGAAAATAAGTTGAACAAATGTCATTTGGCGGTCAAAAATGTTTATTGGACATATGGACATCAAATTATCAGACATTTTATAGAGATTTCAATAATGTGTACACATTTTAAGTTTTTTGAGTTCTGTACCAATATTTTTTATTATGGTACGGGAAGTTCCAGCAATTTTCCTTTGGGGCACGGTGCCATGCACCCCACTAGTCTTTTTATATTTTGCAAAGTAGAACTATTTATAAAGACTATCATGCTTAATACAAATATTTGCATAATACGCCACTTCCTTGCACTTATTACTGAATAGAAATATAATTAGAAACATATTACCCTAACCTGCATAATACGCTGTCTTGCTTATTAAGCGTTTTCGGATAGGTTTTGGTTTTGGTTTGGTGTTTCTGTATTTACATTTTATGGCTTCAATCAATCAATGATCTCATCTTGCGAGTTGCATGCTCTGTGTCTACAATTCTCACCACGATGTCGTATGATATATGGTCCTCTGTCTAGCGTTTGAGCCATCAATTAAACATAAAAATTATACCCTCGTTATATCTCGAGTGGATTGTCATAAACAAACCGATATTATCGGCGTCTCCGATGTCATATACGCGACATTTTTTATGGTCCCATGACTCCAATGTATGCATGGTGATGGTGAGATGTATGAGAGAATGCAAGAATTGAAAAAAATTATGTGTTATTCGATATGATCTTCGTGCGTGGTTTTAGTTATTTTTTTTTAATCTCGACGGTTTAATCTCGATTTCTTGGATTTATAATCGGATATCTTGAATCTCGTGACGAGCTACCATAAGGCCACGCGTCCACTTTGAACGACCTTAACTCCAAAACATTTTTGTAATAAAAACTTTTAAGGTACCATGTTTTCTTGAACAACAGATGCTGTTGTTGTATGATCAATATGATTACTAACTTATTACTAAATTGAACTATGATTACTAAATTCTTAAACGTTTGTGTTTGCATATTTTATGTGTGTACACTGAGAATACACATTCCACCCTAAGCAGTCATATTTTCAATCAAGGTCAGCTCGATATCAAGCATTTTGATATCAAAATTTTACTTGAGCTTTTCTCTACATCTCAAGTGTAATCTAATCTCAAGAAAAAAATCGATTATACTGGCATTGTTACAACACTATTAGATATACATTTTCAATTAAGCATCTGAGCTAACACAAACTAGTCCCGATTTTGATATCACCCTCAGTGAGCTCGATATCAAGCAGTTTGATATCAAAATTTCATTTGAGCTTATCTTTACATCTTAAATATAATATCAAGCACTATTAGATATACATTTTCAATTAAGTTCGTGGGCTAGCACAAACTTGTCCCGAGTTTGAACCTACCTTTGGCCAGCTCGATATCAAGCAGTATGATATCAAAATTTTACTTGAGCTTAACTTTACATTTCAAATATAATTTTAAGCAAATGTCGATTTTGCCAGCATTGATGCAACACCATTACGTATACTTTTTCAATTAAGGACGTGATCTATCACAAATTAATCCCGAATTTGATTCCACTCTGTCAGCTCGATATTAAGCAGTTTGATATCAAAATTTTACTTGTGCTTATCTTTACATCCCAAATATAATATCAAGCAAATATCGATTTCGCTAGCATTGCTGCAACAACAATGCATATAAATTTTCAATTAAGCACTTGAGTTAGCACAAACTAGTTCCGAGTTTGATGCCACCCTTATTTATCTCGATATAAAGCAGTTTGTTGTCAAAATATCACTTGAGCTTGTCTCTACATCTTAAATGTGATCTCAAAGGAAATCGATTTCATCTATACTTTTTCAATTAAGGACGTGTGCTAGCACAAATTAGTGCCGAGTTTCATCACATTCTCGACCAGCTCGACGAGGGTGCTCGATATCAAGCAGTTTTATACCAAAATTTTACTTGAGCTCATACATCTCAAATATATTCTTAAAAATCGATTTCACTGACATTGCTGCAACAATTTTCGATGTATATCAAATTTTTAAAGTCTTCTTATGAGAAAAAACTGGTTGACCCCTGGGTTGCCCTTTCGATAAAAATACCACTGTTGAATGACAACAAACACAGCTAAAAGAACATGTAGTTCTGATCGCTGTTAAAAAAATCAATTATTATCAATCTCTTATAGGGGCTTAAAAAACGGCATAAACATCAAATAATGGTTTATCATTTAAAAAGTTTAGATTTGTGATTAGTAATTTATATTTGCTGGTAAATGTCATTCAGAATTTATTTGTCTCTCCTCTAGCTATTTTTTATTAAAAAAACAAGGATGTGGGTATCTATAAATAACCCTTAATAATTACTAATAAACAAGGTGAATAACATTTTGTCGTTGTATAATTAATATAATGCTATCTTAATTAGTATTAATTAAAAAAATAGTTTGTCAAATATCTTCGATTAACTATCGTAGGAACAATTGTTATATTTTTTTGTATAATCTGTGAAAAATAATTATATGAACAAAGTGCTTGAAATATTAGAATATGGCATCATACTAATTTTATATAAAGTACGCTGCTAGTGTTCATTATAGTTTAGACTTGAATGAACTTTTAGTATAATAAGTTCAATTCGTGATTTACTGGTTTTATTGCCATTTCGTAGAGTATTTGCATACGTTTTTGTTAATCTTTTGGATTACCATGATTGTCATAAAGAGAACTAAGTAAACAAGCGCACTTTTTTCTTACTTCCTGGAGAACAGACAAGATCTGCCAAAATCTCGACCCATATCTTTCGCCAGATCGAAAGCACACACCACGACTCGAATTCTCGCAAATACCAGAACACCATCGAGATCATCTGTCCTGTTTTTTTATGTTTGTTTAAAGTTTTAAAATGAAAACACCGCAGTAGGTTTTACTTCGAATTAATCAATCAACGTCTCTGCATTGGGTCGCGACGGGATATTTTTCTCTGCATGTGCGAGAACAAAGTTAAGCCTAGTTTCCATGAACAGATCGAATCTTTAGAGTTGACTTTGTGAATAAAACCAATACATATGTGTGCAATATTAGTAGAATTAAATAATACGTAAATTTTTATAAAGATCTTTTATTATATTAAATATTATACAAATAAGTAAAACACATCACTTTTTAGAAAAAGTTTAAATAAGATTTGTAAATTGTTATTTAGTTTTTTAATGTAGCCAGTACATAGATACGCACCCTTAACTAAAAAAATCTTTTAAACTGATCTGAAGCATATTTTTATTTTTAAACATAACAGTTAAACTAAGTTTAATAGTCAATATTTAAAGATTATTAAAATATTTTATTTAATTGATGCAGTGGATGTATTTTATTTCATATTAATGATTAAATAAATGTTGCTGATTATCATTAAAATTCATAAAATGACCTACGATATAACGATATAAACTGGTATTTACACAGTATGAAATATTCAGTTTTACTCAATAATTAACTTCCCTCAAAAAAATCGATTTTTTTAAAAAAAAAATTTACGTTTCAGAAGTTTCTGAACATTTTGACATACCTTGGCGGTCAAAAATGATCATTAGACATATGCACATCAAATTAGCAGATATTTTATGGAGACTTTAATAATGTTGATCAATTTTGTTTACATTTCTATGGGTTTCGTAACACCATTTGTCCGTAAGACGGCGACGCGGCGCTTACGCGCTTCTATAATTTGTATCTATGCAGCTAAATCAGTGAGATTGCTTTGAAAAACATTTTTCCAAAAAAGTTATTTTCTTCAAAAATTTAAAATAACTCAAAAATCAATTTTTTTTCAAAAATTAACAAAAAGAAATCTTTTTTAAAAAAAAATTAAATTTTTAGTACGGGAAGTTTCAGCAATTC